ATATCTTGGCAAAATTGATGTGCCCCATCATCTGGTAGCCGTGAAGACACTCTCAAAAATCCAACGGTCTATAACAAATACTATCAGTCGCCATGGAATTCAATGTGCAGCGATCTGTCCATGGCTGGTTCTGCTGCAACCCTGTTGTACCAGGACTGAACGATGTCACCCCACAGATGTTCTCTGCTCGAAGACTTCTTTACATGCCCGCTTACACATCTTACCTGCACACAGGTCATGGAAGAAGACTTGCCCTGGATTACCTGCCCTGGATTACCTGCCCTGGCTTGAGTGCAAGCTCCAGCCCAGGAAAAGTCGAAGGTGAGCTTACTGGGCGACGATTACGCTAGCCCATAGCGAAGCTCCCACAGAGACTCTTGGGTGCCAACATACATCCACCAACCCCACTTGGACCTACACCAGGTCGTTTTTCAATGAGAACCACACCGCAATAAGTCTCAAAACCTCTTTATATGACCGCTTACATGTCTTATCCCGTAAGTCAAAAAAAAATCAAAAAAAATCGATACGGATCAAGGTCTCTCAAAGCTTTTCTTTTGCTTTCGATCGCTACCAATACTTTTTTGGGTCTCGAGACTCTGCCCTTTGAATCACACTTTCAAAAGTCGAGCATCGGGCTCGGCAATGGGACTGCTCGATGGAGGAATGGGCTCGCCAACATTTCTCTGTTCACAGTCAATCGGTGCAACAATTAAGGATATCCAACCAGTTCCAATTCGCCAGAATGACTTTATTCGTGATGATGTCGATGTCTTAAACGGCTTTCGAACCACGTTGCGCACCGGAGAGCTTTGTTAGCAAGTTCATGCAAACGGTCCACCAATGCTAACAATTGAAAGCGGGAACTGCTCAGACATCGCAAGCGGGAATGGCATGTGGTAGGAAGTACATTGCGCATCTGGCAAGATCAGGGAATGCCATGTGATGGCATGTGCCGTATTTTGAAATTTTTCCCCAGATTGCTGTCGAATTGCAAATAAGACCTGGGTCATGTTCAAAAATCTCCATTGTGAGCTGCCGAGAAATGATTCGACAATTTTTGCTGCCAGTCTCCGACCTGTGTACAAGAGTGCAAAGCTGACTACAAGTATGCGACTGGTCGCAACAATTGGCAGTACTGTCAAGTATTTGCTGCACTACCTTAGCTCAAGAACTCGCCATTGTAGAGGGTGAAGATCACGAACTGGAATTCCATTTGAATTGTACAAAGTCAGGCCTAAAATCAAGTATGCCAGTGCCTTGTCAAGCAAAGCCCCTCTTGGGTCAACAATTCCTTCCTTAAAGTTTACAATCGGGGTGGCCGAAGGCAAAAGCCACGAAAGCTCTACGCTGCCATCTGACATTGGAGAGCTTCTTTACATGACCGCTTACATATGCAAAGTCCGAGAAGTCGAGAGATTCTCGACGGAAGCCTTGGGGCTCATAGCTATCCATGTGCTCAACATCGAACAAATCAGATGTTATCGGTGAAGCACATCCAGGCTTGTCTTCCGATACCAGATTTGGCGTTTTGGTATCAAGCCAGGATCGAAATGCAGGGCGTGCTGGCAATCTACATCGAGGAGGCTCTGATCGTGGAAGAGGTAATCAGCACTGTGGCGGGCGTAGTGGCCGGAAGCTCTTTTGGACAACGAAATTCTTCCTCTGTGTTCGAAAAAAGAGCATTCGATACATAGAAATGTAGCGCCTGGAAATGAAGGGGAAGTGAAGGAAGGCAGTTATAGCACAGAAAAAGGTTAGATATCAGAAACAAAAAACAAATACAAAAATTGATACCGAACTTCCTGTTTTCATAAAGTGGACAATGATGCACTTACACCTGAACTCTTCATCTCTAGGTGGGTCTTTTGCTTGATGTGACAGAAAGTTGCGATTGATACTCCCAATCCATTCAAAGATACCATTATTCTCTAGTGGAATTCCTAGATTCTCGCAGACACAAAGCTCTTTGATACCATGAATGAACTTCTTCAAATGGGTAGAACTGACGTAAAAACAAAATATCACAGGTTTGGTTGTGATGTCAAAAGAATAGACAGATCAAAACAAACAAAATTTCGATGGTGAGAGATTGACGCTATTTACCCGAAGCTCCTCCGAACAATAACCCCTGGAGCTTGTACTTGGGTTTAAATATCTATGTTTGTACATCCATTTGAGTGAATCTGTTGCCTTCAAGTGGCTGTCTTTTTTATGTTACTAGACTACTAAAGTTTAGTATCCTGAATTCCTTATCACCTCAGAATAAATCCAACTCGCAAAGAGAGTAAGACTCAAAGGTGGTTTGCAAAATTTTCACCCGATTTCGGATTGGCAACTGCAGACAACAATAAGAAGATTATTGTGTCACGTTCTACATCACTACAAACGCTCTAGAGTCTATACCAATCATGAGCGTCAAAACTGAGTAAGCTATGAATTCTTCTAGTCAAGAACATATAACCAAGCAGATGATTCACCAATTCCATCAGAGATTATGCTCTTCCAACACGAAGAAACATACTAATCATCCCAGATTCCCTCCCATCCGAGCATGTCTCTTCGACATGGACGGTCTCCTGATAAACACCGAGGACATGTACACCCTATGCGCCAACCATGTTCTCGCCAAATACAACCGTCCTCCCCTCCCTTGGTCTATCAAAGCCAAACTTATGGGCGTCCCCGGCGGATCCACCAGTTCCGTCTTCATAGATTGGGCCCAACTACCTATTTCCAAAGAACAGTACGCGTTAGAGCAACGCGAACAACAAAAGCTCCATTTTCCCTCCTGTAAACCCCTACCTGGCGTTGAAAAGTTGCTCAAGGATTTGAGTACGGCACGTGATGTTGAGGGGAATAAAGTACATATAGCGTTGGCGACGAGTAGTGAGAAATACAATTTTGGATTAAAGACTAGTAAAGAAGAGACTAGGAGGTTGCTTGAAGTTTTTGGAGAAGGAAGGAGGGTCTTGGGAGATGATCCGAGAGTAGAGAAGGGGAGGGGAAAGCCGGCACCTGATATTTATTTGTTGGCTTTGAGGCTGATTAATGAAAGTTTGGGGGAGAACGAGAAGCCAATTCAACCAGAGGAGTGTCTTGTATTTGAGGATTCGGTGCCGGGTGTAGAGGCGGGGAGGAGAGCTGGGATGAAGGTTGTTTGGGTTCCTCATGAGGGATTACTTGCAGAGTATAAGGGACAAGAGAAAAAAGTGTTGGCTGGGAGAATGGGTATGATGGTTGGGAATGAAGAGCAATTGGGTGAAGTTGATGACGGTTGCGGCCAGCTTCTTCCCAACTTGGAAGATTTTCCTTATGAGACATATGGTATTGTCGTTTCGTAGACTTTACCGTACGTTTGGATTTGGAAGCTTGACTCATCGAGCTAGACTTATCATGCGAAGTATCCTCGATGCATAAGAACTTTCATTCAAAACGAGCATTAAAGCTTAGGGAGCTTGAATTGAAAGGTTTGATTGCTGGTAGATTATTCCTTACAGAACACGGCACTTCATTAGTTCAAAGCATTGTTCAACATACTGTTATCTCATGTACAATTACTCGGTGGCCACACGCTCAAAAAAATGACTGAGACCAGCGCTTCCTATATTTTAGAGTTGTCCTAAATATCCGGATCTAAGCCTCCACAGTAAGCAATGGCCATAAGCCTTACCCGTCTCACTCTATACCATACTTCTTTCAGTCAATGAAAACAAGCATCCCATTTTTGGTTCACTCGTAGTTTGCGGCATGCAAAGCGAGCATTCCAATGAAGCGGACCCCGCTAAGCCTCCAGCTTTCATCTATCATTCTGATTTATGTAGGGGCTTACACTAAGCTAGATCTGGGGATCTACAATGATCTCAGTTGGAAATCGGGTATACCAGTACCGATTTAGAAACAACAGTTGGTTTCCAACGGAAAGATAACTTGGGCTCGTGGTTTCTCGTGGTTTTTCTATCCCTGCTCGGGGCTTAGATCTCATACGTTTGTACCGAATTGCTGTCCACTTTCCATCTAATGACAAGCGAATATCAGAAGTATCCATGGATATTCATTGGTCACTATTAAACCCTTGGATCTTCCTTCCAGAAAGGAAAAGTCGCAACAGATTTCCTAAGAACTGTTGCACTCTATATAAACCAACTGGACGGACAAAGGGAATTTAGAAATGTCCGACGCTGCAATGTGGGTCCAACCTTCCGGACATGTATACAAAAACTATCGCGATTATATCCTTCTGCGGACATGATCTTGATCTCCAGCAAGATATTATTAAGCTTATTATTAATCAACAGCTCTAAGTTTAACCCGCTCGTAGTTTAGAAGCTACCTAGGGCCAAGATACCCCCACCACTCTGCGTATCTTTGCGGGGGCTCTCCTTGGTGACCTACCGGCACCTTCCGGTAGGTAGTTATGTACTTTGTGGAGAATCGCATAATGTCCACATGTTTGTGCGCTGAGTTGGTCAGCAATGATCTGAGATAGAGATGAAATCACGGGGAAAATACACAGTATCGGCCGAAAGGGTAGTAAACACAAGTTTGTGATTTCGAAGCAGTTCTTTGGTTCTCATCTTTCTGTGCGTAATGTTCATTGATGCTAGGATACCAGTAATCTTGGGACTGTCCTTGGCTGAAGCGGCAATTTGAGACAATGCTGAACCATATCATTCGAGCTCGCTGGACAACGCATGTGGGTAATGTTGGTCTTAGATGAGATGCATGCTGCCACATATAATGTCTTGGAATAACAACGTCCTGCTAAAATGTAGTTGCGAGCCAAGTAAACCTTAAAACTGGTTTGCTAATCACACAAGGTGTGATTGAGAGAACGACAACTACCTAGTTAGTCTTCAATCACTATTTAAGGAGTCTTCCTCCCCTCGATATCATATTGTCTAACACAGGTATTATTCTGACTACACTCTTCTATCTACCTGCATTTCTACTTTGACAAGCTATCTATCCAGAACAAAATCACTTCCTCCTACCTCATCATGGATTCATTCAACTCCAAAATTGAGTCTGCAATTTCTGCAGGTAAAATTCCAGGTGCCGTCACAGCTGCCAGCAATGCTACGAGATCATTCGTTCACGCCTCATCATACGGACCTCGTTCTCTTCACCCTGACTCATCCACACCTTTGAAAACAGACGCCATCCTCTCGATTGCCTCCTGCACCAAACTCATAACCTCGATTTGTGCTCTCCAATGTGTTGAGCGCGGCCAATTCACTCTCGATGAAGATGTTTCCCGACTCCTCCCTGAACTCAAACTCGAGGAACTTGATATCATCCAGGGATTCGATTCCGAGGAAAAGCCCATACTTGTCAAGGCTACTAGAAACATCACGCTCCGTATGCTTCTCACCCATACGTCCGGGCTAGCATACGATGTCTTCACGGCTAACTTGATTCGCTGGCGAGCAACACGAGGTGAAGTTGCCACGCTTGACAAAGGAACCCTGATATCACGTTGCAAAACCCCATTGACAGCTGAACCTGGGGCTTCTTGGGATTATTCTAGTGCGTTTCCCCTCTTTTTATATCCCCAAACCTCACAAGCAAAGAAGAGAGACAAAAGCTGACAAGATTTCTCTAACATAGCCGGACATGATTGGGCCGGTCTAATGGTCTCACGAGCCAACAACATGACATTGCAAGACTACTATAACAAATACATATGCACACCCCTTGGCATCACAGATTTCGCATTCCAAATCGATGAAAATCCTGATTTACTTTCACGCTTGTTTGATCAGGCTACTCGTGTCGGAGGCATTACTCCCTTCGGTACCGCCGCCGATGCCACCGGTGCGCTCGTCCACGCCGAGACTAGATTTTGGTCACCAGAGCACCCCGACGACGCAGGCGGAGCGGGAGCTCATATGAGTGTACCTTCATACCAAAAGATCTTGCACAGCATCACAATTTCAGACGAGAAGCTTCTCAGCAAAACGATGAATGACAAGCTTTTTGAAGCGCAATTGACAGAACCGCAATTGGCGGCTATAAATTACGCGCGTCAGATTCCGGATGTACGCCAAATATTGACCCCCTCAATTCCAGTCGATACGAAACTTGATTATGGGTTAGGAGGAATGATAGTTCTGGAAGATTTGGAAGGGAGGAGAAGAAAAGGGGCAATGCATTGGGGCGGATTGCCAAATTTACTTTGGTGGGCTGATCGAGAAGCAGGTGTTAGTGGAATTTATGGGAGTCAGTTGATACCTACTGCGGATAAGCAGATTATAGAGATGTTTGAAGAGTTTGAGAAGGCTATTTATGCAGAGGTGGGGGCTTGATGGAAGAGTAGACGTTTGGGGTAGTGTATATATTCAATTTAGACGATTGATTTGAGATGTTACTTCCAGAAGCGAACAATAGGGTTTCAATGTATTACTCTGATGACGCTAAAATTGACCTAAGTCTACTCTCGCGTCACTTAGATTCTATAATAGCAAGAATCTATATATTTAAGATAGAACCTATAAGGTATAAGGTATAAAATTAGAATTAATAATCCTGAAAGCTAGAATTCACAATTGAAAATGAGAAATTAGTATCATAAGAATAGAATCTATGATTGAAACGTAGAAAGTATATATAAATTCTGAACATAATAGGCTAGAATCTAAATGATATTACAAGAGTAAAAAGATCTCAGCTTTAACGACACAAAAGTAACATTCTGTCCTTCTAGTAGCACGCCAATAACCTACCGTTTTTTTCATCCAAAAGCTTGCGTCTCCATCTATTTATCTTTTCTACTACCCATTCTGTCCCCATTCACTTTCCTCCGCACCCAACAATCGAGAAACGGTCATAATCAAATTCCACAACACTTCTCCAATTTCTATCAATATCCGATACACTTCAACAAATCTAATCTCACAAATATGCTTTCGTCGGCATCAGCGATCTCAGTATTTTTTACCATCACATCTTCTTACTCTCCACCTCCTCGATTTAATAATCATACAGAACAACACCCGTCAATCACCCACCAAACATCTAGTCCTACAACCCTCCACCAACTTCCAACAACTCTTCACATTTATAACTTCCATCTACGCTCCTATCCATCCCTAAGCACCAATATCAACCCTCCCAACCAAAGACAATCGATCGAATTTCAAATTCCCATCATATATATGCAGATACCTATGTGTATACACAACCCACCAAGCGAAACAGAATACAACATGGCTGATTCAACGAAATCATATTTTCTAAACACTTCATCCACATGTACGCCAATGCAGAGCATCTCGAGGAGCCGAAATCCCCTATCGAAAGAAAATCACCTCGCCTGCTTACAGGTCAAGTCCTCTGTGCTGTTTGTCTCCATCTAAATACTATCTAATCACAATCAATTTCTCAAAGATGAAAGAACAATTGTACTCGGGAGCAACTGCAGGAATTCCTTTTTCAATTGTTTACAACGAATATGTGCTATTTCCCAACCTGGTATCATTCATGCTATTCTACTAATATACCATTCATTGATCAAACCAACCAATTCACCATCAACTTTCTCACCCATTGACATCTTAGTCCCCATCTCGCCTATCTTCCTCATCTCTTCTACGACTCCATCCCCCGCAAAAAGACCCATCAAACCTATCAAACCATCAAGCACGCCATTCACTAATCTATCCATCCAGCGAACCATCCTATCAAATTCGTATTCATATTCTCATTCCAACCCAATTTTTTCCTTTCCTTCCTCTTCCCACCTCTTATCCACCGCATCAATCACCATGCAAAAACTTGTAATCGCAATGCCCAAAAACGCCACCGCTACACCCAAAAGTCTGATAAATCAAAAACCAAACAATGTATCACGAAGGGATATCTAAAGTCTCCATGTCTTTATCCTCCGCTGCCACATCTTAACTCACGGCTTTGTACAAAAACTGCCTTCTTCGTAACGATCGTCTCATACATGAATAATTCTTCGCTTCTTATGGACCTTGCCTTCCTCGCCTCTCTTGTATCAACTTTAGCTTGTTTTCCTTGTTTTGCACCGACCTTTCGTTAAGATCCGCGTTTAACCAATATCTGCTATGGAACATAGGCTCAACCAAATTGTATTAATTCCTTCACCCATCTTCATCAACACGAGATTTGTTTATCCGTCAAGACTTCTCATGCCGACGGTTTACTTCTAGGCGATAACTCTTCATCACCAGGCCTAGCGGCCTTCGCTAACCCATTCAGAGCACGATTCTCGTGAATCCCATCAACCCCATCAGTCAATTGATGACCTTGGTCCTCTCCAGTAGGTGTTTTATCGAGATCATCTAAATACATTTGCGTAACAGATAATCGATGAGGTTCATTTTTAGCCGTTCCATATGGATGAAGAGGAGTCGGTGTAGCTTCTCCAGATAAATGTGATGCTGATGGCGATCGGTTTGAAGGTAAAGGTGAAAAACTACTTTCAACAGAATTTGTTCGTGGTGCTCGATTTGCAGGTGAAGAGGAAGCACTTCGCTCATTTTCATCTATAAATGTATCCTTTGCGTTTGGGAGAGAAGGAGCCCTCGCACCATTTATAGTTTTTTCATCTTTAGCCCCTTGAAGGATATCTCGTGCCACTTTTTTCGCATCTACGTTAAGGTTTGGTAGGGAGAGAGGAGCCTAGGTGATATTAGCATTTTCTCTCTCCACGACTTTTGTGCAACTTACCTGTTGAAGATATTGATCTAATTTCTTCTTCAAAATCCCCGATCGAACAGGTTTGGCCAGATAATCATTCATACCAGAAGCCAAGCACTTTTCCCTATCCCCTTGAATAGCAGATGCTGTCATCGCAATGACAAGAATGCCTCTGACTGCATCAATTGAATCTTTGCGTAACAACTTGGTGGCTTCATATCCATCAAGAACAGGCATTTGTACGTCCATAAGAACAATATGATATGGGTTGCCTTCGCGAGCCTTTTGCCTAATGCCCTCCACAGCTGCCATTCCATTGTCGTAAGCATCAATAATTTTGAATCCCAGCTTTTGCATAAATTGGATAGCAATCTTTTGATTGATAGGATTATCCTCGGCAATACAGATTCGCAAAGCGTCTCGACTTATATGAGAGAAATCGTTGAATTCAGTAGGGACTGGTTGTACTCCTGGGGCCTCGATGGGTTTTTGAATAGCTTCACGCGGAGGTTCGTACTGAGTATCTCCTGCAGAAACTTCCGGATTGGCTTTATTGAAAGTTACAGAGAACCAGACAGTCGTGCCTTGGTTTTCGACACTCTCAAGCTCTATTTGTCCACCCATCATCGATTCTATAAGTGACTTACAGATACTAAGTCCGAGACCAGATCCACCATAGCGACGAGCTGTAGAATTGTCTGCTTGGGAGAAGGGTTTGAACAATTTGAGCAGCTGCTGTCTTGGTATGCCAATTCCAGTATCCTTGACCCAGAAAGTCAACTTAACGGCATCTTTGGTTTCCCAATCTGTTTTAGCACCGACAGTGATAGAACCATTCTCAGTGAATTTCAAACTATTTCCAATAAGATTACCAAGAACTTGGTGGAGTCTGACCGGATCTCCATAAATCAGAGATTGCGGAAGATTTATATCTTGAATGATTTCCACATTTCGAGAGCTCTTCTTGTCTCTGTTGCTATATGAAACAGATCTGACAACTTCTCGTATCATCTCATCAGCATTGAATGCTACAATAAAAAGCTTCATCTTATCAGCTTCCATCTTAGAGAAGTCTAGAATATCGTTAATGACAGTGAGCAGTAGATCCGCAGAAACACGGATCGAATCAGCCATCTCCGCTTGCTCCTTACGAAGATCGCTATCACGGAGAAGTTCTGAATTTCCAATGACTCCATTCAATGGAGTGCGTAATTCGTGACTCACGTTTGCCAGGAAGATAGATTTGGCTTTAGCAGCTTCTTCGGCCAATTTGACATTGCGAAGTGCCTCCGCCTTTGCCAAATTAGCGTTTGTCTCAGCCTCCAAAGCTTTAGCTAAAGCTCTTCTCTGCACATCAACCATAGAATTATTGAAAGCCGAAACCTTTTCTACTTCTTTCAAGGTCAAGGCATTGGAATAACTGATGCCGATTTGATTGACCAGCAATTGGAGGACCGTAAGATTTCTATCGGTAAAAGCGTTTGGTTGGCCTTCCAAATAAAGAACTCCAAGTAATGGTTTGATACCGTGGCATATCGGAATAGCAATGACTGATTTTCCCAAGGGATTGCGGGTAGACCAAGCAGGATTAACATTACTAAACCTTTCATCATTAATGAGATCAGGTAGGAATACAGTCTCGCGAAATCGAGTGCAGTAAAGAATGACCCCTTCGGCAACCAGTGCCGTTTCACTCAGAGGCAGCCCAGGTATGTGAGCCACAGCGCCTTTCTCTGGGTCACCACTAGCGGCTATGCTCCACCCAATAGGATCTTCTTCTTCAACTACGATTGCAGCGACTGACGCCAGACCTCCACAATTCTGCAGAATAATCTCACACATCGTTTTGAGCAATTCATCGACCTGGAGAACACTAGAGATGACTTGCGAGCTTTCGAGAATGGACGTTAAATCCAGCATATCTAGAGCTGGAAGCCCAGAACCAGCATCAGGTCTCGCGGAGCCTCCTTGCCAGGCCCCAATTCTATCGCCTTTTGTCTCAGAATCATTGGTATGAGCCCGTTGCCGCTCGTCATTCTCGTCCCCTTCTAGAGTACGATATGGTGTGGGTGCAGAATCGCCAGCAAAATCTGTTTGCGTACTAGTTTCCATATATCGAAGGCTGCGGGTGGGTCCTTGCAGAAGAAGGCTATGTTCTATCTCAATATGTCTGGCAATTCCTCCTGCTCCAAATTGCCGGTACAACATGATTGTTTCTTGCAAAGCCGCCTTTGCTGGCCTTCGCGAACCGGCGCGTAAGAGAAAGCCGGCAAGTAGAAAATTCCCCAAAGCCTCCTCGAAGACAAATTCATGTGAAGAAGCATGATCCAAAGCTTCTTCGTAATGTCTCAGTGCCCCTCCATGATCATTCTCCATTTCGGATACTTGAGCTGCAAGTAACTTTGACCAAGCCAGATAGTTAACATCTGAGACAACCTGCCAATCTTCAATCTTTTTCTGAAAATAGAAAACTCTTTCCTTGGTATCTTTTAATGCTTTACCAAGATCCCATCTGCTACCTCCCTTGGGGCTTTGAGTCGCCGCTTGAACATAATCTTGTTTTTTGGCCCAAAAATATGCGGCCAAGGAAAGACCGTGAAAGAACATTGTGAAGCGTGTGTTACGAATAGACCATAGAGAA